TACGTCATTGATTACCTTTTTCACCTTAAATGGTCCAATAAATTTCCAACCCAATTTCCTACTGGGACGTAGGAGTTTCATATTTTTAGTAGACACATACACGTAGTCACCAGGCCATAGAGCCCAACCCTCCGCCCTTCCTCTATCAGCCTGTTTCTTATAGGCAGCCTTAGCCATCTCCAACGTCTTGCACAGCAATGGCCAGGCTTGTTGCAATGCTTTGCACCATGTGTTGGCATCCCCTGAGTTCATGTCTTGTTGACCCTCCAAGAACGGCAAGGGAGGACTGTCATACCCGTATGCAGCTTTGAAAGGGGACATGCCAATGGATGTGTGACACATGTTATTGTAACAGTACTCAGCAAGAGGTAATAAGTCACACCAGTCGTCCTGTTGGTAGTTAGTAAAACACCTTAAATATTTTTTCCAATGTTTGGTTCACTCGTTCAGTCTGCCCGTCAGTTTCCGGGTGATAAGCATTGCTCAGGCCCCTCTCCACCCCCAAAATTTCCATCAGCTCCCTCCAGAACTTGGAGACAAATTGTGTACCCCTATCGGAGATCACCTTTTTAGGTAGAAGATGGAGGCATACAACGTTATTGAAGAATGCTTCAGCCAGTGCTTTGGCAGTTGAGAGTGAGGGGAACGGCACAAAATGAGCCTGTTTTGAAAACAAGTCAACTACCACCCAGATGACCGTTTTGTTTTTGCTTGGTGGTAGGTCCGTGATAAAATCCATCGATATAACTTCCCATGGTCTGTTGGGGGTAGGGAGGGGATGCAACAGTCCCGGTGGCTTTCCCCCCCTCGGCTTGCTCATAGCACACATTTGACAGGTTTGCACAAGCACAGTCAGGTCTTTTCGCATGTGCGGCCACCAGAACTGACGTTTAAGAAGTTGCAGTGATTTTACAAATCCCAAGTGTCCCGCCAGTTTCGACCCATGTACCGCTTCCAGGATTTTACTCCGCAATGTGATGGGCACATACAATTTACCGTCTTTATACCAGCACCCGTTCTCCCCAACATAACAATCCTCCACCCCCTGCACAAAGGACTTGTCCTCTTCCGAAAACCCTGTGAGGAAATCATTCTGCCATAAAGGCGCGAGGGGAGGGGTTGCTGGCTGTGATGGGGGGGAGGCGGGGATTATGGCGGCTTGATTTCGAGTGGTGACAGTACCTCCCAACTGGGCGGGAGTGAAAATTGAGTCCACTATGACGTCTCTTTGACTGGCGTGTTGAGGGAGGCATGACAATCCGTCCGCAAGCGAGTTGGCGGATCTTGGGAAATGATGGAGGGTGAACTGGAATTTTGAAAAGAAATCAGCCCACCTTAGCTGTTTAGCATTTAGGCACCTGGGCGATTTCAAAGTCTCAAGATTTTTGTGATCAGTCCACACTTCGAATGGTACCTTCGCCCCCTCCAGCCAGTGCCTCCATGTAGACAACGCTAGCTTTATTGCCCCCGCCTCCTTTTCCCACACTGACCAATGTCTCTCAGCCTCTGAGAATTTTTTAGAGATGTAAGCTAACGGATGTAACAGCCCATCCTCCCCTTCCTGTAGAATCGCCCCTCCCATGGCTACATCCGAGGCGTTGGTTTGGACAATGAATTTTTTAGTTTCATCGGGGTGGGCAAACACCAGTTCAGACGTGAAGATTTCTTTCAGTCGCCTGAACACCTCATCGCACTCCGCCGACCATGTTAACGGCGCCCCGGGTCTCGTGGCCTCCTGGCCCTTCCCCTTCGTCTTCAATAAGTCAGTTAAGGGGAGTGCGATTTGGGCGAAATTTTTAATAAAGGATCTATAGCAATTGGCGAATCCTAAGAAGGCTTGTAGCTGCCTCCGAATTTTAGGTGCCTCCCACCCCACCACGTCTTGTACCTTTCCCGGGTCCATCTCCAACCCGACTAACGAAATGCGGTAGCCCAGAAAGTCAATGTGTGTCTTGTGGAACTCACACTTAGACAGTTTGGCAAACAGTTTGTGCTTGTGCAACGTACTCAAGACCTTTCTGACCAGTTTCACATGTGAGGGTAAGTCGGGGGAGTACAGTAAAATGTCGTCTAGGTAAACAAGCACCCCCTTGAATAAATGCTCGTGCAACACTTCATTAATCAAGTTCATGAAGACCCCCTGGGGGGCCCTGAAGCCCGAAGGGCATAACCAGGTATTCTAACTGCCCCAGAGGTGTATTGAAGGCAGTTTTCGCTTCATCCCCTTCCTTGATGCGGACTCGAAAATACGCGTCTCGTAAATCAAGCTTGGAAAAGATTTTTCCCTTTGCCGCTTCTGCCAGCAAGTCTTTAATCAAAGGCATTGGGTATGCGTTTGTGGCAGACACTGCATTCAAACCCCGGTAATCCATGCAGAATCTCAAGCCACCATCTTTCTTTTTAGGTAGTCCCGTCTATGGGAAAAGGTGAACTTCAGTCTGAGGACTTGTAAGCTTTTTACGAATGTCAGTTGTGGCTACATACTGCTTCAGTTTATCCACTGATTTCTGCATGCATGTTTGTGCCTTTAGTTTTTGTTTCTTTTTTTATTGTTCCCCACCCATTTTTTCTTCATGGTTCTTTTGAAACCACTTTTACCCTGATCTTTTCTGGAAATTGATTTTGAGGCCCCTCTTTCATTGTGCATAATGTTTCTGTCAGTTTTCTTTGTCCCATTCACACCCACCCACCTCCAGCCCACTTTTTGATAATTGCTGTTGTCATCATCAAACCACTCTCCCTCCTCCTGCCCAGCCTGAAGACAAGTGGTTTCATTTAAAAGAACATATAAAACTTCTATATCAATATACTGAAATAATAATAATGCACTAAAAATTAAGTTTAGCAGGTTCTCTGAATTCCCAGCATTCATTAAAAGAAAGGTAAGTCTCTAGTTCCCTTGTGGATATATGCCTTTTTCCTTATAGCTCTGTGAGCAAGGGGATAGAGAATTGCTTTTAAAAAAAATTGAGGCTTGGAATTGGAGAACTGGTTAAACCTATTATTACAATAGTGTATCGGTATAATGATATTTTAGTGCAGATTTTTTTAAAAGCAAAAGCCCCAAGGGGGGAGGTACTTCTGGCACCAGAAAAAAAGTGGCTCGGTTTAAATGGAGCATAGCACTTCACATATGGTTCATAAACAGATGGGTGGTGGAGCTGCCCCAATCTGAGGCTTCCCCACTCTTCCATAGGCAGGTATGTGTGGGAATCGCATTGACCCTCTCCAATAGCCAGCTGCAGCCCGCCCTGGAAATGCTATCCTTCCTCTCCATTGGCCTTGTGTGTGTGTCAATGGACTATCCCCCCCCCCACTTCTTCTCTTCATTCCTAAGCCTGTATTTATTTTTGATATATTTTTTAATTCAGCCATGATATTGATATGTTGATATAAGCATGCGCAAAAAATAAAGAGAGGGTGCTGTCATGCCACCCATGACAACAACACCCTCCTTTGAAAACTTAGATTATTTAAGGTACATGCAGAAGAAAATAAACTAACCCCACAACAGTGAAAATGCAGAGAGAGGGCAGATAGATGAAAGAACCATGCCCAAACCGATTCCAATGCTTGTGGATTGACTGCCAAGATATCAGGAGTGGGTTGAGCTTGCGGAAAAACCCTGAGCTGAGGGCATGAGGTGCAAACTATTAAGTGTATACCTTGGTCATTAGCCAGAAACAGCAAAAACATTAATTGCTTGGTCACCTACTTCCCCCTCCCCATAATTCTGGTTCGATCCTGAATTAAATAGCAAGGTGTAGCAGTTAGAGTATCAGGATCTAGGGAAACCCAGATTTGAATCCCCAATCTTCCCTAGAATCTCCATGAGTGAGCCAGTCAGTTTCTCTCACCCTAACCTACTTCACAGGGTTGTTGTTTTGAGGATAAAATGCAGGAGGGGAAAACAATAGTGGGGACTTCAGGTCCCCACTCGGGAGAAGAGCAGGGTATAAATACTGAACAAATAAATGGGAATAGATTTATTTCAAAAAGATATTTGGTAGAGGGTGAGTTGTTTGGACAGATCTGGCTGTACATTTTTTAAAATCTTGTTTGCTATTTTTATTTTGCTGGTTGTTTTATGTGTTTGCACCTTGTTGTTGCTTCATTAGCTGCTTTGAGCCTAAGGAGATGAAGTGGGATATAAATGTTTAAAGTAAATAAATCAGGGAATTGTTCTGGGTAGAGAATGCCTCCATGATGTATTCACTGCCCAGAGATCTCCCTGGTCCCTAGCTTGTCCTCACAGTAGGTGGCCCCTAACTCATTTTCAGTACCAGTTGTCTAACCAGTCTCAAGTGACTCTGACTGCACTTTATCCATGTATCAGGAACACATGCAACTTTTCCTCACCCCCACTGTCTACCCCAGCTAGTAGCCAACATAATTTGCCTGCTGGAAAAGAACATCAGTGACCAGGAGGGAGAATGTCCACCCGCCAAATGGAGGTTACCATCATTCCTAATCCTTATGAACTGTTGATATTTTGTGAGCCTTGCCAACTTCTTCCTAGTCCTCCATACCATCCTGTAAGGGGACAGGGAATGTTTGCTTCCTGCTCAAGAGGCCTGTTCTCAGACACCACCACAAGGATAGGACATACTGCCTATCTGATGGAAACAGCCTCCAGGCAGGGCTGCCACTGTCACAGACCGTGCCATGGTGGTTTGGGTTGGGGAAGTGGTGGGGCTAGGGCTGGAGGAGGCTTTTACCCAGGCTTCCTGAGCAGCTGGGCTGACACTTCCCAGATAAGTTTCCCTTGAAGAGGTCCAACAACAAAGGCTCGGAGCTCTGAGTCTCACTGCCTCCTAAAGCCCAGCAGTCATGATCTGCTAGGAGTACAGGGCACTGACACAAGAAGGTGTCTGCTGTCCTCTCAGCCTAGAGCAATAGTTCTACAGATGCATCAGGCCCAGGCTTGGGTCTGACCTGGATGCTCCACAAGTAACATGGCAACCAATGTGCAGTCTGGGGAACCACTTACCTTACTCGCCATGCTCCTGCTTACCTTTTGGCCTCTGCTGAACTCTGTCCTCATCACAGATGAAGGTAAGATTACCTTGGTTGGTGGGGTGGGGAAGAATGGAGATATTTAAGCATGATTCTTGGTGCCTTATTGGGGCACTAAAACTGTAACATGTGACTGTAACACAGGTAGATAAACACCCTTGTAGAGTCAGGGTGTCTGAGAAAAGTGGAACAGGATAAAGCTTTCAGATGACTCCAAGGCCAGCTGACCTGAAGGAGAGTTGCCAAACCCTGATCCAAAATACCCTCCTCCTGAGATTTCTTAATATCTCTGGAGGTGTTCAGCAGTTCTCCAGCACATCATCACTAGCACAGAAGGTGAGAACACCTCCAGGGCTGGGATTAGTAAATATCTGGACATCCTTTTATTAGCAAACCTCTCTTACATTATTTATGGAATGGAGAAATCTCTTTCATGGCTTGCTCCAGGAGACTGCCCAGCATGTTTATTCAAGGGATTCATCCTTCACCTATATAATTCCCCAAAAGAGTTGGGCACTAACCAACCAAGGTGGGGGAAAGTATGGAGAGACATTAGGTAGGCATAGGATACAAAGACTCAAAGACAGCGTGGGCTCTGGAACCCAAACTCTGTCCTGTCCAAATGAATCCTCTTCTTTAGGAACACCAGCTGTGACATGCAATACTTCCAGACTATCCTTAATTTATCATTGATTAAATCCATTTATATAACCGCCTTGTCAAGACATTCAAAGTGATTTACAATTGAAAAGATGAAAAGACAAAATAGTAATGAGGATTAATGTATTTGGCACCTCCACTGCCAGTCAGGGACAAATGAGACTCATCCAGAATTAGAGTCCAATTTACTGTATCCACTCTTCTTCTTTGTTGCTTCTACGGAGTCCTACCTCTCCTCCTTCAAAGCCAAATCCCAGTTATCCACTATATCCCTTTTCAACTAAACCCACAGGACTCCCAAAGGCAACTCACAAACAGAAACGTATGTTTTAAAACGAAGTCTGTGATTCTGATTACAAACTCTTTGTAGCCCCAAACCTTGCCTGCTCCTTGCATACAGAAAGGCATTTAAGTAATGAGCTCTTTTGACTAATCAGGTTTACGAATATATTACAAGGACAGAAACCCCAATCAGATAAATTCTTGCTTAGCCTATGATGAAACTCACATGAGGGATGGGTAATTAAAACATTAAATCGCTCCTGGGTAAGGTGTTATGTAAGGTGCCACCATTCTGATTTCTTAGGTCTTCTATGGTGTGCAATAGCTCTGCCTGAACTCTACATTCAGTCCTTTTCACTCATTGCAGAAGTTTATCCCCCATGAATTCCCCAAGTGATTTTGCTTTGTTCCTGTCAGACTAATAATTCTGCCCTTTCTCACTGACATCATTCTGTTTGAATTCTATGTATTCTTTGTACTTGGAATTTCTTCTTTGGCAATTCTCTCAGAGGGGAAACTAGATTGTATCTGGAACAGAAAGAGCATCCAAAAATACCAGTCTGCCAATTATGTAATCCACTACAGCCCAAAGCTCAACATCCACTGTGAGAGTCAGGAACTAACACATCTCTGTTGTCTAGGCGTTTTTGGTTACTGGGAAAGAGAAAGGTTACCTCTTTGGATTCCTTCCTAGCATATCTGGGGAAGACTGTGTTTTTTGCTTTAACACCCTAAGAAAATATGAACTATGACTGGTGTAAAGAGATTGGCTAGGGCCATGAAATTAGAAGCTGATAGTGAATATTTCCATCTGGTAAGGATCTGTCACCAAAAATACTTTATGGTTATGAATCACAGTGGCGTACCTAGCTTATTTGGTGCCCGGGGTGGATAATTTTTTAACATCCCCCTCCTCTTTTCTTTTTTCTTTTTTGCCATCAAGTCACACCTGATTTATGGCAACCCCGTATGGTTTTTAAGGCAAGAGACGTTTGGAAGTAGTTTGCCACTGGCTGCCTCCACGTTGGTCCTGCTTATCTTCTGAGATCTGATGAGGTCAGGCTAGGCTGGGGCTATCCAGGTCAGGGCCCCTCCTCTATACGACAAAATTATTTTCAGTAATAATAATGAAATAAATCATATAATAATAATGGCCAGAAAAGAAATAGGGACAGTGAAAATTTTCTTTTATTTACATAATCATGCCAGTAAAAAAAAAAATTCGAATTCCAAAATGCTATTCCATCATGAGAGCCAGAGTGGTGTGGTGGTTAAAATGTTGGACTAGGATCTGGGAGCTGTAATTTCTGTTCCACATTTATAACCACTAAAACAGATTAATGTTCCATTATCATGCATGTAAAGAGTGGCATAGGGTTGCCAGTCCCCAAGTCCCAGCAGGGGTTCCCCTGGTTTTGGGGGCTTCTGCCTGCCGCCGGCCAGCCGGCCAGCAGGGGAACCTCACTCCCAAACAGCAACGTTACTGTATTATGCCCCCAACGCGATGATGTCACCCACAAGTAACATCGCGTTGGGGATATCACACGCCAACACTCTGGTTTGAGGGCAAAACTCTATGGTTTGAAGCCGGTTTCACCATATAGTTTTGCCCAAAAATGAAGAGCATCACTGTGTGATGTCCCCAACACAATCATGTCACTTCCAGGTGATGTCACCATGTCAGGAACATCGCAGAATGCCCCCAACCCCCCCCCCACTGGCGTGACAAGTGGACCTCGCAACCTGAGGTGGAGGAGGGGGGAAGCATCCTTTTGCTACTTGGTTAGATCATGGGGAAATACTAACTCTTCCCTCTTCATAATATTAACAAAGGTTTGCTACTGTACTACTCTGAAGTACATTCTTCACCAAGCAGAACAGGGATGAGAAGGTCTTGAGACCAAGAAGTGAAAACAAAGGTGGGGGGGGACATGGAAAAATTAGGTGAAGAGAGGCAGAAATTTATGAGAAACGTGTGGAAAAGAGGGAGAGAAATTAAGAGAGGGAAAGGTTTTATCTTGATGCAACACCCTAACTACTGCTTTGCAAGATCTGGCTGAGCTGGGTGCAAGGAAAGGGAGAGAGAAGGCTAGAGAAAGGGAAGTGTTGACTAGCCTATCCTGCTATGCTGAGACATCCCTGTGGCCCTAGTGGCTGCAGCCAGAGCTGCATTTTAAAAATAAAAAGAAAGACCTTCAGCTGGAGGCAGGAGGACAACGCTGGCTTCAAGGGGCCCCCTTCAAAGGTCTTCCTCAAGCTGCGCTGGGGCTGGACTGCCCCTCCTTGGTATGCCACCGATGAATCACTCTGTGTGTGTGTGTGTGTGTGTGTGTGTGTGTGTGTGTGTGTGTGTGTGAGAGAGAGAGAGAGAGAGAGAGAGAGAGAGAGAGAGAGAGAGAGAGAGAGAGAGGTCTTTTTGTCCCCTGAAATCATATTACTTACTAAATTATATTTCCTTCAGGGATCAAAAAGAGATGGCATTTAAGATGCTGCTGTATTCACACACATTCATGCACTCTCAAACACAATTCAGGCCAAAGCAGGCATTTTTGCATAACTCATAAACCAGTTCATTACCAGAAACACCCCTGTAGGGCACTCCTAATGAGTCATGCTGTAGTAAAATTTTCACATTTATCTGTCCACACTGACCCAAGAGCATTTACTTACCAGTCAGTTTCAGAGGGCCTGTACTCTACTTGGTGTGCCCGTGTCTGACTCATGTCAAGTTGTGTCCATGGAGGCGGTTTGTGAGAACATGACCATTAGTGAAAGTTAAAACCTAGGAAGTAGCCCTATTGTTGAAGTGCCAAGCCAGCTGTCCCCTCCATTGGGCTTCATGAACTTTTAGGGACAGCAGACTCCTTAGAAACAAGCACCAGTTTGCTAAAAAGCTCTAACTTGGTTGCTGTCTTGGGGCAGTAGGTGTGCTCTTGCCCTTGTTTCTCAAACATGGGAGGGAAAGGGATGCTCGGATTCTCCTGCTTGTTTTCAACCCTGCCACTCCCGTGTCTTCCTGTTATTTTTATTATGTTGACATTTAATTATTGACTTATATGAGGCTTCATAGGCTACAGTAAGCAAAAAGATAGTTCCCTGCCCCCAGGGAGTTTACAACCTAAACTTTGATAGCAGAAGTGCAAGGAAAATGAAGACAAAGGCAAATTGTACATGCAGCTGTACTAGTCAGGATTTATTTCCATAAAGGGTGAGAAATATGAGATATTTGTTTAATGTAATCTAATTTTCAACATGCAAAGATTTGTGGATACTTAAATATAGAGACTGGAGCCATGAACAGCAAAACATATATTTCAATAATAATGCCAATAACTGGAGAGGAGGAGGAGGAGGAGGAGGAGGAGGAGATTGGATTTATACCCCACCCTTCACTTGGATTCTCAGAGCGGCTTACAAACTCCTTTCTCTTCCCCTATCCACAACAGACACCCTGTGAGGTAGGTGGTGCTGAGAGAGCTCTGAGAGAACCGCCCTTTCAAGGACAGCTCTTGTCAGAACACTAAAGATTTGTGGGGAGAGGCACATACTCCGGGACCCATTAATTTGCAGGAAAGCATCGGAATGAAGCATTCAGGGCACATAAACCATGGATTCCGACATCTCTACACTAATGCGCGACAAGCAGGAGGAACTTGAAGTCTTAATACAGAAAGGGGACTATGACCTAATAGACATTACTGAAACTTGGTGGGATGACACAATTGGAAAATTAGGACTGAGTTGTACAACTTGTTTAAAAGGAATAGGCAAATAAGGAAGGGGGAGGAGTAGCATTATCTGTCAAGGATGTATATGCTTGTGAGGAAATACATTAATCTGAGCATGGATCTCAAATGAGAGTCTCTGGGTAAAAATAAAACTAGTAAGCAACAATGGTGATATTATGGTGGGGGTCTGCTATAGACTACCAAACCAGGCAGAGGACCTGGATGAGATGCTCCTATCCCAGATTACAAAATTTTCAAAGAGATGGGACATGGTGGTTATGGGAGATTTCAATTGCCCAGATAACTGTTGGAAGTCACTCCGCTAAAAATGAAGGGTCTAATAAATTCCTGACCTGTCTTGGTGACAACTTCATTTCCCAGAAGGTGGAAAAGTGAGCACCCTGCGTAGTAGTGACCACGTAATTTAGGAATCTTGGAGAAGGGAAACGTTGTATGTATTCAGATGTGTAATGTGGACTTTAGAAAAGCTAATTTTAACAAAATTAATCTGGGTAGAATCCCATAGAAATACTTAAGTTGATGGGAGTTCAAGAGGGATGGGAGTTTCTTAAAAGCAAAATATTGACGATGCAATCATGAATAATTCCAGCACCTTAATGACTAACAAGTCTTTGCAGGTTCCCCACTGCACAACTAGGCAACAGTTTTCCTGAGTAGAGACTGTCAGGGAAGGCAAGAAGGAAAACTGAAGACAGGAGAACTGATAAAGGAAGGTTGGCTAGTGGATGGAAAGGAGAGAAGGTAGTAGGATAAGGGGAAAGGCTAAGGGGGCTTTCACATAAAGGAAATGGTGGGTGAGGGGGGGGGAAGAGATGTAAGCTGCAAACTCTTAGATTCCCCACTTTTCTTCGCAATTAATAAAGTCAGAACATACAAGCCATACTGTTGGGCTAATTTCACATTATATGCATGTACATCATAAAGCCTTGACTTTTTCACGTGAAAAGATGTCTCTTCTGAACAGAAGAGTGGTGAGCATGTGTGTAAATGCATGCTTAACCCTTTCCATTCTTACTCTTTTTTCCACTCAAAATCCCCTTGTACATGCTACCCTCATCCCCAACACATATCTGGAAGCCAACAGGGGAAGAGGCAGCTTGAGAAACAATTTTGAATGGAAAAACAGATGTTAGGGAAAGGGTTAAGCAAGCACATCTCTCCACCACTCCGAAACTCAGAATTACAAGCTCTAGAGGCTGCTTTTCTTTTATTAAGGAGGGCAGGATTTTGTTGCACGAATGTGCTTGTGATATGTAGTTTGCTCCCTTATCTTGCTTCCTTAACACTTTCACTGGGGATGTTATCTCCATGGGGGCAGGAAACTTTCTTTTCCCTCTATCCACAGGAACCTGCCGCAAAACCACATGCCTATTTTGGGATATTTGTTTGTGACAAAAGGCCCTTCCGTTGTATGGCATACATGCTAATATGGGATGCTGGAGATGGGATCCCCCTTTGACTGTTCCCCTTTCAGTCTGTGTAATTCCTAACTCCATGTGGCTCTGTACAACCAAGGTAAAGAGAGTGGCTCTTTAAGACCAGAACTGTTTACACAGGTGACATCGAGACTAATATGCAGTAGTGCACACTTGTTCTAAACAAATGAACATACTTTATAGAGTAAAAGTTATACTATTGGGGGGAAATTTAATGCACACATCTAGAAATAAATGAAGAACAGAATATTTCATTACTGCCCAGTACTGAACTGGATGTTAAACTGTGATCAAATCCCAACTTCTTTTTAAAGACTTCAGAACAGCAGCAGATGTGGACTGAGGTGATGGTGTAGCAGAGAGGGGAATTAACTGTAGCAGGGCCTGGGCAGGCTCGAGATGCAATGATGGGCCTTCCCCTGGTATGTGGTGCTATCTTTTAAAGGAATATCTCAAACATCCTAAATGGCCCTAAACCATGAAACTCATGGAACCCTAGCACCTCCCTTCTAAGAAAGTAGTCCATTTTCTTTGACTCCTTTATGATTTTAATTTGTATTTACCATCATCAACAATGGTCTCCATTGGAAACTAGTTTGGCAACCTTTGTCATAGCCTTCCCTCACACATCGTGTGTCTGCCAGAAGCTTTATTTGATTTTTGCCTGGTCTGGTCCAGCGTGATCTTATTTAAAGTATGTTGCTTTTTATATCCTAGATATTACTGAAAACTAGTCTTATAAAATAAGCAGTACCACATAATCAGAATTACCTTCATTCATATAATTGTAGTTCTCATGAGTGGTAGTTACCAAGGGACGGCTGTGGCTTTCACATAAGCAAACTACCTCATGACATTTGCAGTTATTGGGGAATTTTTTTTCCATGAATCAGCCATAAACACCTGTGCCAAATTATTACTTTCCCCCCTTGATACAGGTGTATCGAATAAGTACAATTGTATGCGGGAAGGGCAGGAAGTGCACTAAAACACAAAATCCTATTTGCCCTCAAAACATTCATTCTCTCGTCACCCCTTGATTTTTGGTCAATTCTCCTCCTGAATTAAGTTAGACTGAATATTCATCATGAAGTGATTTTTTAATAGCTCCACTGTTATTGTTTCCTACTTTTACTTTGAATACACTTATTTACCATTGGGAAGGAAATGGCCAGTGACAGACTGGAGGAGGAGGAGGAGGAGGAGGAGGAGGAAGGAGGAGGAAGGAG